AGGTTTATCCAGTGTCTAGCCTGCTTTCCTCCTTGTTCTCTAGTACCTACACTAATCATGCACATTTACTACTGAGCCCAGTGTCCCAGGGCTCACAGTGTCACCAGGGTTCCGGCTCATTTAAACTGCTTTTGGTCATAGGCTGGACCCTCCCCAGGACTAACTAGTTCACCTTCTGTGTAAGTTGCATACCGGCAAGAGCCAAGTATAGCGCCCTCTGCTGTTAAGTGTGAGACCACACCAGAACAGGTCCTGAAGCTAATTTACTGCATGTCCTGGGGGAAGAGGGCTTTCCCTTATAAAACGAAAACAAAAATGTATCCCTCACAGGGACACTGGTGTATGTAGAGGTGACTCAACGGGAATCAACTGGTTGTTTTCCACAGGTCCATCCATGGGAAGCGAGCATTAACCAAAAGCCATGACCTGGACATAGTGCTCTCAAAAGCCAGTGGAAGAGCATTGGGTAAATCTGAAGGTGCAAGGTATTAAGCTGACAAAGTCTCGACGAGTAGGGGATCGTCCTTCCCTGTGTGCATCTTCTATTCCTATAGGGGAAATGAATAATCTGAATATTCTGCTATCACCAAGCAACAGAGCAAAAGCTTCTAGGTGTTACTTTAATAAAATGGTATATTCCTATAGGAATACAAGAGGATGCTATAATAAACCCTGATCTAGCTTTCTCCAAGTCAGCAGTTAAAGGAGCCACTTTCAATCCTTTCCTGTGGCTTATTCTTAGATTCATTTAAAAGTGCTTCCACAGAGGTGAAATCACTCTCCAGGCCTGGCTCTCAACAAGGAGCTCCAGTGCACAGTCATCTGAGCCTCAGTTCAGTCAAAAAAAGCTACAGGAATCCTCAAGCTTAGTCATGTAGCAAAGGGGGAAAGAACTGTTACAAAGAATGTAGCCCTGGAATCCCTTCGGCTGTCGCCAGAAGAAGGTACGCCACTAAGAACTAAGCAAGCAAATGAATGGCCACTCGTGTCGGAAAGCCACGGCGGTGGGTGCATGCTGGAGTGTGCGCAGGAGCAGAAATTTGCTGTCGTGATGTATATGACGTGGGTAAAACGCTGAAGAGATTCTTGGAATCTTGGGTGAGCCGGGGAGCTCTCAGATTGTGCTGGGGAAACTCTCTGCCTCCCCACTGATGTAATATGTTTGCAAGGAATGTGACGAGGTGGGGGCCGTGGCGGCCATGTGGCTCTGGTGCGTCTCCGCCATCGGGGTGTCCCCGCGGTTGGTCGAGCCGCGCAGGCGGTGGGCGTCCAGCATCTCCAGCAGCAGGTCGTAGAGGGGCACCACGTTCTTGCACTTCATGTTGTACAGATGCTCCATGCCTTTGTTACTGTGGGCGGAAGGACACAGAGAGGGCCACTTTAGACCGTCGCAAACCAGAAGGTCTGCTGAAACTCTTAGATGGTGGAAGTGGAAACTGCCAATCTTGCTTCCTGTTCAAAGAGCCATTTTAGGATTCGCTAAGCAGGTGACTTCCTACCAGTGACTCAATTGAGATCCTATTCCCTTCTATGAGTATTACATCTCGGAAGAGAACAGATGAGAAATACAGCCAAATAGAAGGGCATTTTTTAAATGCAGCAAACAGTTTAAGAAGTTCCCTTGCTTAAAACTTTCAAGTGTCTTCCCATTTCGCTCAGAATAAAATCTAAATTTCTTTCCGCACTCTACAAGGTCCAACGCATGTGGCTTCTGCCAGCCTTTCAGAGCTTCTCTCCCAAACGCACCCTCTTTTAGCCACGCTGGTTTTTGTGTTATCCCTTGAGGAAACTAAGATCTCTTTCCTCCCAGACTCGGGATATCGGTACTCACTCTTCCCTTTGCCTGGAGTGCACTTCACTGAGATCTGCAAATGTCGCCTCCTCTGAAAGGCTTTCTGCCACCCCAACGGGCAGTGGCCTCGAGCCTCTGCAGCTTCCCCACCCCCTTTTGCATTGCCTTATTTTCCTGCCTTCACTTCTGACAACCTGAAATTTGTGTGTGTGTGTGTGTGTGTGCGTGTGTATATTTATTTTTTCTTGACCACACACACACAGGAACACACGCAGTGCATGTTCTATGAGGGACAGTGATTTGCCCATCCTGCAGGCTTAGACAATGCCGAGAATGTGATAAATGTCCAGAAAATAGGGAGTAAATGGACATAGGGAAATACAGGCAAATGACATTTCTTTTACCACTCTCTGCCCTCCGCCATCCCCAATTCTGCTCTGTCCCCACCACACTACCAGGGAAAAAAATAAATAAAATAAAATAACTGTTATCTAGATTGAAAAATATTTAAAAATGAGTAGGCAGGACCAAGAGAATGTCCTAGAATATAACCGCATTTTTAGTAGGGGAAAAGTCAGCACAAGTCGGAGACCTGCCATGGAAACAGAGCATCAAAACTATTACAACACGACAACCTGTATTACATTTTTTTAAGTGGTAATTTGTTTTGGGGGGGTTTTATTTTAATTTAAAATAGTGGTAAAGTGAAATGTCCCCCGGTTCTGACACTGTCTTGCTCGTGCACCCTCGTGAATCACAATTACGGTCAGATGAAATCTTGTGTTAAATTCTTTGAGCAACAACATATGGCTGGGGTAAACTTAATAAAACAGACTGCTTGTGATTTAGATGGGCCATAATGAGGCACCCAAATATTGAGTGTGTGTGTGTGTGTGTGTGTGTGTGTGTGTGTGTGTGTGTGTGTGAGAGAGAGAGAGAGAGAGAGAGAGAAGAGAGAAGGAGGGAGGGAGAGAGAATGCTCAAAGCTTTCAACGGAATAGCAATTTGCTCCAGTTTTTCACACAATTCAAACAGAAATTCTAGAGAGTTCTCTCTCTGCTGCACTTCTCCACCATATATTTCCGATAAAACCAGCAAGACCTATAAATTTAGGGCAAATATATTCGGTATTAACTAATTAGGGTTGCTAATACTAAAGAGCAGTTAATAGATTTGAAAATTCAGTAATTCCCACCAACAAATAAAAATCCTCATCTTCAATATATGGTTTCTGTGACAGCTTTGAAATTCCTAGCTCAATACAGTTCTTCAAGAAGATCACTCTCTTAGCCAGGAAGTTTGGTGGAGGATTATGTTATTTGGATACAGTCCCCACTGTCCTCTTTGTAATGATCATCACAAGATACAGATGGGAAAAGATTGGAAATGTGTGCTCCAAATGCAGTCACCAACTCCACCTGGCCAAGGTGAGCCCTTTGTCTGTGACACTGGGGATTCTTGGGGAATCCCTGAGAACAGAGACTACTCACTTTCTCCCAAACTTTGCCAAATGGAAGTCATCACTTGGGAATTTCAAATTCATAGGGTAGGGGAAATACTCAAGGAATTTGTTCATTCATTCATTCCCTCATATAATGCCGTGAGCATATATGACATTAAGACTTCATTAGGGCGCTATGAGGGATACGAAGAACAAAAAGTACATTTATTTTCTCAAGAAGCTAACAATGCAAAGGTTGTCTCCAGAAAGGATAGCACTTGGGACTTTAATGCGAAAAACTTCTTGCCATGTGACCCATAGTCTCAAAAGCCCCTTCAAAATTAATCCAACCCTTTTCAGACACTTGGCCCTTCCCTCATAGCCACTAGGAAAAGGAATCTCTTTTTCATTCCTAGGGTCCTCGTGTAAGCCCAAGGTCACACTTATTTCTGTAGTGTCAACACTTCACCTCATTTTTGAAACCTTCATGGAGTAAAAAAATCTACCACTTTCTTCATCTCTTCCCTGTACGCTGAGTTCTTTTTATGGGAAGAAAATCCACTAAGCCTGTGGCCAGATACCCTACACGTCTATTTAGAATGGAAATGTGGCCGCTTTCACCTTTTGTCACAGAAAGGCTCTATTTCCTCTGCTAATGTCCTTCCTTTGCTCTTATAGAAAATATTTATTGAGTAGTTACTATGTGCCAAGCCCTGTGCTAGGTCATATTGGGTACACAGAGTACGGAAGATGGATCGTGATAGCTGCCCCGCATTGCTTACAGTCTGAGGAGGCAGGAAGATCATACAATGGCTAATAACGATTGGGAAGAACAGGTACAAGTCCAAACTAGATGTTACGGGTCAGGAGATGCTTCCTGCAAGGAGTGACATCTAAGCTATGATAGATTGGTTTACTGTTCAGGAATATTCACTCCCTGTGCCACGTGTCTACGATCTTGACTTTGAGCTTCATCATGTAACTTGCTTGGCCAATAAAATGTTAATAGATGCAACTTAACTAAAAGATTAAAATGAACTTGCCCAACCCGGCTTGCTTTCTTGTTCCTCTGCCATCGCTATGAGAAGAATATGTCCCAGCTAACCTGTAGGTACAGGAGGATAAGAGACACATGAGACAGAGTCACCTGGCCAACCTGCAGGCCTGCAGCTTGAAGCAGAGTCTCCCAGCTGTGTCCAGTCTAAATCAGCTGACTCACAGATGTGTGAGTGAGCCCAGTAGAGATAGAGCAGCTCAGCCCTTGTGCCGCCTGAAGCAGACTTCTCCATGACTCATAGAACAGTTGTTTCTGGCTAGAGATCGGACTGTGAGGAAGTCCTGGAAAGTTAAGTAGGCGCTAGAGCATAAGAAGTAATATAAGCAAAATAAAGGGTCTTATACTTTTACCTAAAAGCAATGGGAAGTCATTTCAAGGTTTAAGTATGGGGACAATATGATCAGCCAGCGGGATGATCACTCTGGCTTCACTGTGGAGAATGGATTATAAAGATCAAGACTGGAGGCTGGAGAAAGTGCTAGGTGGCTGGTGACACCCTAAAGGAAATGATGGCTTGGCTAGGATAATGCCAGTGGGGGTGACAAGAAGGGACTTGAGAGGGCTGGAAGAGTCAACGTTGACCCTCCGTGAGGCATCTGGACCAAGACTCTCTCATTTAAGATTTCTAAGTGTAAGTCGGTAGCATATGACACAGGATGTACCCAGTGCCTTTGGAAGATGGGTGTGCTTCCAGACTTCCTTTGATTGGGTGGGACAAAGCGAATGACCACACATTGCCCTTCCCCCTGACCTGCACCCTGCATACTCTTCCCCCTTTAAGACCTCACACGTTTCAAACTAAGTGCAAATATCATGTCCTCTACGAAGCCTTCTCTGACACCTGCCCTGTGCCCCAGACAGATCTAAAACCTTCTTCCTCCATCCTCCCAAAGCATTGATACTTATTATGTGCCAGAAACTGTCCCAAGTGTGCTAGCCACATCCAGGCATCAGCCCTTGCTGGACCAGCTGTAACATTCACTTGGGGGCTTGTTACTTTGTGTCTGTCCCATGGGGAACCCGAGGGTGCCTCACCTCATGTGCCTGATGTGGGACAGGATGAGGAGGAGTTGGGCCAGGCGCCGGTGCTGCTGCTGCAGGGTCAGGCCTGCTTTGGCCATCAGATGGATCAAGGTGTCTATGATCTTGTCCAGGACTCGGTGGATATGGTCCTTCTCTTCCAGAGACTTCAGAGTGCTGGACAGAAATGTGTATACTCCTGAATATGCAGAGAGAGAGTGAGAGAGAGAAACTCAAAGAAGATGATGTCTAGGAGACGGGGGGTGTGCGTGGGACACGATACTGACCCAGAGCCTTTTCTACTTCTGCACAGCAAGGGGGAAGTTTGGGACTCATTTGATCCAAGCTGCCTACGTGTGAGCCAATTTCCAGGTTTTGTCATCAAGATTCCCAGGAGCGGCACTATAAGCCTTTTGGCCATGTGGTTCCGCAAGTCCCCCTTTCTCTGACAGATCTGACACCGACACGAGCTATCCCGTTAATGCTGACGACAACCCTGTGAGAGGGGCATTATTGTTCCTTTTCACACAAAGAAACCAAAAGGCAGAGAGCCGCATGAACCAAGATAACTCGTTAGAATGGAGCAAAGCTGAGAATAAAGCCCAACAAGCTGACCGCGATCTGGTCTTTATGATGGGGATGCTCAGGAAACATGGGACCTCTTGGCAAGATGCACAGAGAGAGCGAAAGTGATTTGCTAAGTGACTGACAGGTAATTTGTCCAGGTAGGCTTTAACTTGCTGTTATGTCTCAGGTCAGGTTTAGGGCCTTAGTATGTTTCATTCTCAGCTGAAAGGTTTACGATGGGGATAGAGGACCATGGAGCGTGCTGTTTTTTCCCTGTGGCCTTTCTTCTGGCAACAGATCCTGGGCCACAGGTAGACACAGGACCGAAATGAGATGCTAGGGCAACTTTATTCTTTTGGACAGTATCAGTCCTGTGCTAGACAATCAGAGCCTTTTCTGGAATTGCAGGTGGAAGTCATGAGACAGACATTCTTTCCTCTAGTATTGCTGACCTGGGAGGAGGAGAATATGGGACTTTTAAGTCGTAGCATCTTCTCACTTTGGAGGCCCTTTCTGCAGAATGGACCAGAGTAACACTAAGCAGAGGTGATAGTTATTGCGGGGAGAGAAAGGAAATCCTGGTTCCAGTCCCGTGGTCCTACTTCTTACATCTGACCTTGGAGCTTGGTACCTTAGTACCCTTCCTAACACGTGAATCCAGACATTCCAATTCACTTAAGACAGTGTGAGTTGGGTTACTGTCCCCTGCGACCGAAAGGATCCTGACTGTACGACTAAGTTGTGAGCTCAGCCCAAGGACCAGAAGAAGGAGATTGATAAAGAGGTGGGAAGCACTGGGAGCAGGAGGAGGGCGGGATGGATTAGTCCTGTCCTGGGACCACAAGGGTGCATTTTCTATCCAGCCAATACTCCAGAAATAAGCTCCATTCTGCCTAATCGTTCCATCCCTCAGGGAGCAGATGATGTGATATTTTCTCCAGATGATATGTATTTAGCAATATTTTTTTAGTCTTACTTCTATTCAGCCCTCTGGATAGAAATAAATACAATTCTTATAAACATGTGTAAATATTTATAACATATTTATAAAAAAACGAGCACATGTAATACATTTCCTCATCAATATGTTTCTTCAATATCTTTCTTCTCCTCCTCTCCCTCCTGTCCTCACTGGTACCTTCAAGTTAAGGCTTCCAAGTTAATCACCCCCTGACTTTGTAGTGGCAATGTGGGGACCGGTTGAGGCTCACACAGCCACCTGTAGGTTAGGAATGGAGAAAATATTTACATAGAGAGGAACTCATAGTAAACAGAGTCGCAACTGCCCAAAATGGAAAATGGCTAAGCTCTAAAACAAATACAACAACGACAAACCCAGAATGGTCAGGTCTGGGCTTACATGCAGTTGAATAGAATAATGTAGCTTTTGGTACCCAGAGGCACTTTGATCCAAAGCAAATAGAGCACAGATTGAGTAAGCAGGAGACAGGCAGTGGGATTAGAAGGAAATTGCTGGATTGCTTCACTTATGTCCCATGTGGGCTATGGATAAAATATGTGTCCATCAGAAAAATGTCTAATGTCCAGTGGCTTTGGGGTTGGCTAGGAGTTAAAGGATGCCAGAGTAGGTGTGCACCGGTGGGTCGGGGGCAGGGGTGGCCTCCGCTGAGTCCCCATGGCCCTGCCTCTCGCCATGCTCTATGTCATCACATATATCCTAGCCTCACATCTCCCAGAGGCCGTGCGTCTGGCTGGACATCCTGGGAGCCTGCCCAGGCCACAGAGCTGAGTTAATCCAACTTGGATGATTCGTTTTCTACCAACTTCCTTTTTGTTACCACCCAGGATGCTGGCCTCATTCACTAGTAATCCCGTCCTTGCTCAAGGAGCAAACAGCCTTGATGTTTCTGCCTGGGAAGATGACGCTCAGTAGCACTTGGCTTCCCCGCTCATGCACACAGGGTTAGAGGAGACCGTGCAAGAATCTCAGACATCCCGATGGCCAGCGTTGCACCATGCCCTTTGCAATGGAGGAAGGAGCCTTGGCACCCAGACTCGAGTGTGAGAAGCTTCCTCTCGGGCTGCTGATCTCTCCATCTTCCTGGGTGTGCACGTGGATTCTTTTCTTCAGCATGCTTTCACGGAGAACCCACGGTGTGCGTGCAGTGTGTCAGATGATAAAGCTTCCAAGCCTTATTTCCTTCTAAGTGTTAATGTGTTAAGAGAAGATATTGCCTGCGGAGAAAGAATTTTCTTAACACCGACTCGGGAGGCAGGCCATTCCCCGAACGAGCCTGTTTCTCCAGTCCTGTTTTGGCACCAACACAGTGTATCTTCTCATTCTTGTCAGCAGATGCTTCCTAGCTGTGCTTAGAAATATATATACTTAGAAATAAAAATACAGTCTTATTGAAATGCCAATACTTGGCAACAGCAGCCATCACCTTTTTGGGCTTTTCTGGCAAATTTCGGTCCATGTTTACTGCCTATTGCATCTAACAGGCCATTTGAGAGAAACGACAGAAATCGAAATTCCCAGGATGCTTCGGGTGTTCTGGCAAGAGCAACACAGGGCTGCCGATAATTTCTATATCCCAGGTGGTCTGTGGCCCCCCGAACTACTGGACCACTGTTCCCAGCAGCACGGAGCCAGTGATCAGACACGGAGGTTGGCTTCAGAAACATTCTTGTGACAAGCAGGCTTGTGCTACTCTCAAGGCTGCTCCAAATCCCAAAGATGGAAAAAAACAATCTGTATGTCATTATCCAGTCTTGATGTGTTGGCAGATCTGAGCTTCTGTGTATTCTTGCAGCCAACATTGGGAGTTGTAGGAAGAGTCTGAGACCACAGGGGCACCCCCAAAAAGAAGAGATCTCAAGTCAGTCTCTCTCACTCTCTAGCTCTCACTGACTCTTGATTTCTCTCTCTTTCTCTCTCTCTCTCTCCTTTTCTCATTCTGCTTGGATACTTGCTTCCTTCTTCCTTTTTGCTCTCCATTCCACAGGAACCCCCTCTCCACCCCTCATCCCTTTTCCAAGCCATGAAGTCTTCCAGAAGTTGGAGGAATGCGGGCATGGAAGGAAGTACTAGCACAGCCAGGGGTGCCCGGCATCGAACTAGAAAAGTGAGGACTACGGAGGCCCATGGCTTGCCATATGCCTGAAGACAAATTCTTCAAGCAGGGCTACATTGGTTCTTTTTTAAAAGGACCCTCAAAGGGACCTTCAGACCAAAAACAAAAAAAAAAGTGGGGGAGGGCGGGGGAATGATTCAAAGAAAAAAGATAGTGAAGAAAATTCCTCAAGTTCACAGTTGTAAGTGTCTGGGCCAGAAAGCTGACATTAAAAGGAATTTCTCTTTTTATCCAGTTTACCCAGTGTTTAATCGGCAGATCAGCCTTTAGGGTTTTCTGCTGCGAATCGCCTCCACGACCACATAGCGCATCTGCTCAGGGGGGCCTTCAAGGCTGACAGTTCGATGTTTGTTTTGTGCTTCCTCTGTGACCACTCTTCTTCTTGGGGACGGTACTGGCCCTTGTGGATGTTTGAACAGCTCTTGTTTGCTGCGGCCACTCAGTGGGAGTTGCCGTGCAGGAATGATGGAGTATTTTTTTTTTTTTCTTGAATGCCCTATCGAACTAATCTTACTACAAATAAAAATTCATAGTGAAAACTTTTAGAAAGCTTTTACAAGGTTGTACACAAAAGGTCCAGCGTGCAAGTTGGCTATAGAGAGGGAAGCTTAGATGGAATACATTGTCTCAAAATTATTAAATAATTTATTGACTTTATGCAGTTTGCCAATTGAATGCATTACGTAAGTTTCAACTCTACGCTTAGCTGAAACGATTTCTGTGCAATAGAACAGGTCCCACAAAGCAACACAATTGGTTGCCAATATATAGAAGAGATATGAGGCTCTTCTAAACAAAATTAGAATCGATTATTATAAAATAGCAGACATCAATAAAATATTGTATTATGCCTCCTACATATTTTTAAATAATATTTTAGCATGATAAGCAATCCGTTTTGTGAAAAGTACATATTAAAATTATTTGGGGGTTCTTACAATGACATTGTCTCCAGAAGTTTTCCACACACTTCTTGATCACCTCTAATATGTAGTATTGTTTCTTTTTCCCATTTATCTCTTCTCGATTGCTTATGCAAAGGACATGTCTTTTATAAGGTCCAGAGAATGAATATTTACCTCGAATGTCATGGGCTACTAAGAAAGGATATATGTTTCTGTATACTTTGGCACTTCCTCGTCCTATATTATAACAAAGAGAATTAATTTGACAATACGCAGAATAAAGCCCAAATCATTTACAAATTTATCTTTATTTATTTATTTATATTTTTCATTGACAGTCTGTTTTTTCTTGACATGTTATTACTAAATCAAATTCATCTCTCTCTTCTTATCGTATGTAAATAGATCTTGGTTAGTTTTTAGTTTTCTTATTCAGGTAATCCATCTCTACTTCGGCTTTCTGATATGCCTGTACTCACTGTACAGAAAAGCTCCTGATCATCTTCTTATATCCAAACATTTATTATCAATACCTGTAAGCATTTTATTACTTTATTATATGTTTTATACTGTAGTCAAGCTTGGGCATTTAAATACATATCATTTTATTTTAAATTAGTTTAATACTATTT